AAAACAAGGTACAACAAGACATAGCAAACCCTAGGGAATATGAATGTAACACCTAGACTACCCTAAACAACACATATGAAATATATGTTGACACACCCTCATTGACTAGGCGACGATAGTCCTTTGGAAAGCAACACATTTCTCAGGGTGGGTCTAAAGGAGACATAGTCTGAAAGCAAGCAAGGATCATATGACGAGTCACCAAGAACAAGCAAGGGTCACAAGACCAGTCCACAAGAACAAGACAAATCTGAAAGTGGAGCTCAAAGTCACCACACACCCCGAGAGCAAGCAAGAGGCCACAAGGCCAGTCCACATGCAGGTATGTATCAAATACAAGGAGAGGCAAGCGTACAAGACAAGCAAGACAAAGCAGCTCTATATAAGCAAGTGAGGACGAGCCGGCACAAGGCCAAGCTGGGTGCAGAAACGCTGGTGATCACAAATTGGCAATGCCTTGGTGAAGATATCTTCAGTACTGGCCTCAGAGACCACACGAACGACGCGAGCCTGGCCACGCTGCTGCAACTTACGCAGAAGGAAGTAACGAAGCTGGATGTGCTTCGCCTTCCCAACCAGTCGGGGCTCCTTACAGAACAGGACAGCATACCTGTTGTCGGCGAACAAGACTGGGGGAGAGCGAGGCCGCTCACCAAGGTCGACGACGAGGAAAGTCAGCCAGCAAAGCTACTGAGCGGCTATGGCCGCAGCGTACACCTTTGTCTCACAGCTGGAACCGGAGACGAACGACGCCCGAGTCGACCTCCACGAAACAGCACCTGTCCGAAGGCTAAAGGAATACCCCTATGTAGACTGACGCATCTCCGCGTCGTCGGCCCATGACAAGTCCGAGTAACCTGTGAGTGTAACTGGCTGCTTCCATCCAAGGACAAGTCATATGCCTGATGTACTCGCCACATACTTTGCCACCCTTTTAGCAGCGTACCTGTGGGACGGTCGGTGTCTCCAGGCGCAACAAAGTGCGCAAAGACGCAAAGAGGGTAAGCTAGGTCTGGGCGAGTACAGGGCATCAGGTACATGGGACAACCCACCAACTCAGAATATGGACCACTGGACTCAAATGACTCGTCCGAAGGTGGAGCCGTAAGCCCATGATCCACAGCAAGTGGGGTGAGCTGTAACTTAGAGAACGGGAAGCGAAACCACGTAAGGATCTACTCGAACATATGCGACTGCGTAAGCATAATGATGCGTAAGCATAATGATGCAATTGTGTCTCCTCTGCAATTCCTCCTTCACGGAGGCCGGCGCGTGTCGGTCGGGAGTGGAGAAGATCAGATCATCAACATAGACCAGGACAAAGAACAGGGTCGAGCCATGGCGGACGAACAGTGACGGGTCGGCAGACGACGGAAAAAAGTCAAACGCTGCAAGGGTCGAGCAAAGTGTATCGTGTGACTCACGTGGAGCCTGGCGCAGGCCGTAAACCAGTCAGCGCAGCTACTACAGGGTCCCAGGTGGAAAAGAGCCAGTGAAGCCAGGCGGGCGCCGCAGCCAGATCTACTCGTGTTGGCTCCCCTGAAGGAACGCGGTGGAAAAGTCCAAGGAGTGCAACTCGTAGTCGCACTAGGCTGCAATATGCAGCAACACCCGAAGAGTAGTCATCTTCGGGGTAGGAGCGAAGGTCTGGAAGAAGTCTACCCCCTCCTGCTGACTGAAGCCTCTCGCCACATAGTGCGCCTTGAACACTGGTGGTGATCCAGGCGGTCGCTTCACCTTGTAGAGCCAACGGCCACTGACGACGTCCGTCCCAGGTGGTGGGACGGCGTCACGTAGGTGCCTGTGGACCTATAAGATGCCATCTCTGCCTCCTCAGCTGCTATTCAGTATGAGGCCCAAGGTCCTGAGACCGCCTCAGCGTGATTGTGAGAGATTGGGATGTCAAGGGCGTCTGGATCCCCCTCAGGGGCAAGCAGCATGGTGCAGAGGTTTGCCTGTCCTCCAGGACCTCCAGAGGAAGGAAAAGAGCACCCCCAGAGGATGGAGAACGAGCCACTCAACAGGTGAGCGGCGTAGTCAAGGCGGTGGGAAGAGGCAAAGCCAGCGACAGTCGAAACAAGAGCTGAGACAGACGACAGAGGTGCAGTCGGGTGAGTGATCAACACGGACAAAACACGGGAGACGACAGGAGAGGAGGCACGGAGGTAGTCGGACAACGGGCCGGGAAGCACAGTGAGGGACGACTCAGGAAGCTGTTGTAAGACCGGAGGAGGTGGAACACGAGAGCGGAGAACAAGGTGAAACGGGCTGTCTGCACGGTAACGAGACTGACGGGGCTCTGGAGACACAGCACGACTGAGGGGAGAACGACGAGTCCACGGGGACGAGGAAAGAGACTCGACTGGGGGAACAGGAGGGGACGGTAGGGGACCACGAATCAAGCGTGCAGGTGCAGGGTCGGGCAAGTCGTGCAGTCGCTGCTGCTCCACCTCCTCTGGAGTCTGCTGCGACGGCACCTGCGCCTGCTGCTGCTCCTGTGGCTCCTCCTCTGCCCTCTCCTGCTGCGGCTGCAGTTGTGCCTCTTGCTTTGACCGGGACTCCTGCGCTACCCTCTCGTGCTGCGGCCGTGACTCCTCCTCTACTCTCTCTTGATGTGTCTGCAACCGCACCTGTTGCTGCGGGTGGGACTCCTACGCTACCCTCTCCTGCTGCGGCCGTGACTCCTCCTCTACTCTCTCCTGCTGTGGCTGCAGCTGCACCAGCTGCTGTAGTCGTGACTCCTCCTCTACCCTGTCTCCTGCTGCGGCTGCAACTGCACCTGCTGGTGCAGTCGTGACCTCTCCTCTACTCTCTTCTGCTGTAGCTGTGGCTTCTCCTCAACCCTCTCCTGATGCTGCGACTGAGACTGCTCCTGCTCCTGGTGCTGCCGTGCCCTCTCAAACCACTCCCGCTCCTCCCTCTCCAACCGGAGGGGACACTGCTCACGGGTCAGGAAATATACAGTGCGCGGTGTAGGCGCCACAGTGCCAGTGCCTCCAGCTCCAGCAACCCCAGGACCAGCACCTCCACCACCGACACCATCGGTGCCTCCTGTACCTCCTGCAGCAACACCCCCAGGCTCCGCAGCAACCGGCCGCAGAGAAGAACGAGGAGGAAACTGCGGGACGGACGGAAAGCCAGGGGGTGACGCGGGGCGAGGCCGCCGACTCGAGGCTGTCGTTTCCACCATGGGACTGACCTCCACGCCCACACCCCCTGCATCCCCAGAGCCGGCACCACCACCTCCAGCAGCCCCAGTACCTTCACCCTCCGCAACTGCACGTCCCACACCCCCATACACGACAAGGACGGGACACTGCGGGGGAGAGGATTGGGGAATGACGTGCGACTCACCTAAAGGGGCAGGACGCAAAGGGAGGGAGGGGGGGCTACCGGGGCGATTGGGGGGGCTCTGTTAGAGATTAAGGACGGAGTCCAGGAAGAATAGGGGCCGAAATAACTCAAAATCGTTTGACTAAATTTCTGGACAGAATTGTCGACTTCACAACGAACGTCGTAGACAAAAAACACACGGTTATAACTTCACCAAGTTCGGAGATAATGTAGCTTTAGAAGCTACAATTCTCAATTTGAATCGTATCAATAGGTAAAGTAACACTCGAGATATCAGTTTTGGCGCACTAGGGGGTATGCTGCCACAGAAACTTAACTCAATCACACTAGTTCTCACAAGATCCACAAAGACAATTAGAGTAGCAAAAAACCAGGTAGGAGGGGATGAGGAGGACGAGAGGGAAGGTCCCAAGGGAGTCCCCAACCAAGGAAACCCTATAAGCATAACAAACCTCCTCTTCATAGCAACCCCACTTTTACTTTTGTCACTTTCCCAACCCATGCCATCCACCTCACCCAACTTGGCCACACTTGCCAACCTGGTTTGGCTTCTCCCAACCACTTGGCAGCAACTACAGTAGAAATGATGAATTTCCCAACCCCCAAAAGTCTCCCCATATAGAGTCCTTTCACAAATTCCCATAGTCGCCGCAACCAAATATAAAAAATATACGAACTTCAAACTTTCGTAACTTTCTCGTTCGTGCTCCGATTGAAGCGATCCTTGGTTCGCTGGAAAGCTCTTGAGCAGAGGAGACATTTCAATATCTGCTCAATCAAAATAATCTTCATATACACTCAGAAATTCCAAATCATGCCAAACACAAATTCTTGCGCACGCGTACACCACGCATGCAACGCACAAACATCGGATGAGAGGCAGACATATGTGAATGCAAATGATAGCATCACATAACAAACTCCGCCTCTGGCTGCCAACCATCATGCCACATGCCACAACTTATGCATGCACCCTCGATGCACACTCATTTTAGCAAGTTTTATACCCTTACAATGCTGAAGTTCAGCTAGGCGCTTGGTGATAATATCAGCCGCCTGCTGCTGGGTCTCCAAAATCTCCAGCCCCACCTCCTTGTCCAGAAGCTTCCTCACCCGATGCCAGTTAGGCCTGATGTGCTTTGTCGGCCCATGAAGGCAAGTGTTCTTGACAAGCTTACAACCTTCCCAACCGAACCCACATCACCCTCACTCCCTTTCACATCGTCAACCATGAGGAACATACCAGGGGAGGCTTTACCTCGTGCACTATTACCTTGTGCACCTGAACCTTGCACAACGCCACTTTGTGCGCGTTCACCACTCGGCGGCTTCATGCCTGGAGGTGCCCATCCCTCAGGCTGGCTGAAACACTTGAACCACGGGTGTCCAGCCTTCTTGCAGTACCAGCAAGCTCCCTCCATCCAAGTGCTCCCCCTGCCACCAGAGCTCCCATGCCCCTCATTGTAGTCACCTCGGCCTCTCCCTCTGCCAAAGCCTCTCCCACGGCCTCGGCCTCTCCCACCCCCTCTTCCTTTGCTGCCTCCTGCAGCTTCATATTCCTCAGTAGTCTTGTTGGCAGCACCAACACCTGTCTGGCACCTGCGGAAGTCCTCCCGCAGAATCTGCTACCGTAGCCATTCACGCACCTACTGGTCCTGCTGAGTGTTGAGGGTGGGGATGAGGTTGTCCCATGTATTGTCAAGCACCGAGATGATCTTGGTGCACTGCTGCATCTGCGACACCTTGCTGCCCGCCGCTGCCATCCTCGCATAGGTGTCTTCGATCTTGTCAAGGACCGGCTTCACATTGTCCCCCGGTTGCATGGAGAAAGCAGCCAACTCCTTCTCCAACACAATCACCATCGGCAGCGTGTTCGGCTGAATCACGTCGCGCAGCAGCTTCCACGCATTCGGTCCGAAATAATCAAACTCCACAAAATCCTTGATGTGCTGGAACATGTTGTTGTTGACCGATTGTAGGATTAGGTCGTACAGCACTGCCTTCCTCCGGCATCTTCTCTTCACCCATCGCAAGTTTCAGCAGCTTGTACCATTTGAAGGCCCTCCTCATCCGCCCACTCCATTCCTCGTAGTTGGAGCCGTCTAATGCCTTGATCTTGGATGGTGGCAGCTCATTCCTCTTCTTAGTTGCGTTTGCACTCCCTTGACTCATCTTCTCTTTACCCAATCACAAATTTCAGCTCCCCCCTTTGCTGTCAACACTGAAGATCTTTCAATTTTTCACAAGTGTCGGCGCCAACGAAATTTCGGCAGAGTTTCCCCTTAGCGGAAGTCACATCCAACCTCCAGAACTCCACTTAGGCACGCCCACAGGCTATGGTGGGTCTAGAAGGGTCTTCACACCTCAGTAGACTCTTCACAAAGTCCTCAATCAGCTCTGATACCACTTGTTAGAGATTAAGGACGGAGTCTAGAACGTTTAGGGGCCGAAATATCTCAAAATCGTTGGACTGAATTTCTGGATACAACTGTCGACTTCACAAAAAACGCCGTCGACAAAAATTGCACAGTTGAAACTTCACTAATTTTGGATATGTTGTAGCTCTAGTCCGTGGCTACAAATCCCAATCTGAAACGAACAAAAGGGTGAAGTATTTCTCGAGTTCTGATTTTCGGCACACTCGGGGTATGCTGGAGCTTGAACTTAACTCAATCATAAAGTTTTCCGAAGAACCATAAAGAGAATTAGAGTAGCTAGAAACCAGGTAGGAGGGAAAAAGAGGACGAGAGAGAAGGTCCCTAGGGAGTCCCAACCCACGAACTCCCGATATGCTCATAAGATTCCATCCCTATAGGAACCCAACCTTCACCCTTGTCTTTTTCCAACGTCTCAATTCCACCTCACCCAACTTGGCCACACTTGCCAACCTAATTTGGCTTCTCCCAACAATTTGGCATCAACAACAGTAGATTCGACGAATTTCAGTACCCCCAAAAGTTTATACCCAATATATAAAGCATACGAACTTCGAAAGCTTGTAACTTTCTTGTCCGTGCTCCAATCAGACGATTCTTGGCTTGCCAGAAAGCTCTTGAGCAGAGCAGTCACCTCAGGTATCTGTTGAAGCCAAATAACATTCAGACACACTCAGAAAATCCAAACCATACCGAACAGAAATTCTTATGCACGCTCACACCACGCACGCATCGTGCGAACATAAGATTGGGGCAGATAGGCGTGAATGCAAATGATTGCATCACACAACACTTCTGTCCAAACCCGATTTACGCCTCAGCCACACCACCTTCTTGGCCCCATGATGAAGGGTCATGTGCTCTGTGTTGCACGATGACAGCCCCACCTCATTCTGCTTCTTGCTGTGCCAGCTCACTGCACCACCTCCAAACAGGCACACATAATCTCCAATGCTGGTGCCATCCGCCTTCACAGAGTTGAAGCTAGCGTCAGTGTAGCAAGTCAAGAACATCTCCCCCTTACCCAAATAAGTTGCACCCCTCTACATTCCATTTACACCCAAATGCATTTGCACACGCATACTCGTACAAACAGACGGCAGGATGTCGTGCAATGTGCATTTGCACATAACATTATTCGACGGCGGAATGCTACCCGAGTCAACGCTAGTATGCTAGCACTCCAACGCTAGGCAAACGCTGTCCGAGCCATAACTTTGTAATGGCAGAACTTTTCGCGAGGCAACTTGGCTTATTTTAAAGCTCTTGGAGCGAGCTTCGTTATAGCGACTTCTCAGCTTAATCCGATCGATGAGCTGCACGGCACGCTGCGCAACGTTCAAGGTACTCTTGTTATTTTGGCTAAGTCATTCTTAACTCCTCTCTCTACAAACTCGGACCCGAGGATAGGGGCTGGTCTTGTACCAGGCACCCAGGGACCCTTGGAGGTAACCCCGAGGAGAGGTTTTAAGTTTGATAAAGTCTTAATGTTGGGTGCAAATGCACATTGCACGACATCCTGCCGTCTGTTTGTACGAGTATGCGTGTGCGAATGCATTTGGGTGTGAATGGAATGTTCGTGTGTTTGTTTGCTTTCGCAATTTTCGCTTGATGCATTTACAGGTACTCGCGCGATGTGCGCTTCGGCACAACATTGTACGCGCTATGAACAGTGCAAGCAGAAAGGACGAGCCCGCAAAGGAACCCAAGATGGAAGCTTTGCGGTTCGGTTGAATTGATTGCGCAGATTCAGTTATATCCAACTCGAAATTGTACTGTTTTGCTTGGTTGACTATAGTGTAGCAGGGCAGGCACTATAGGGGTACAATTTAGGTGAAGGTTGGATGTTGCTTGTCTGTATCTGCATGCTACAGGGCCAGGGGAAACCAGCGGAACCAGCATTTGGCTGGTTGGGCAAAGACAAAACAGGTTCTGTTTTTAGAACCTGAACCTGGTTGTTGTTTTCCCAGGTTGGAAAAACAGAACCAGAGGTTGTTTACCAACCTACCACCTGCTATTTTGTCCAGCCAGGTTGGTTCTGTTGCTTGGAATTATTTGGGATCATCCCTGGTTGTTCCCAGGTTGATTCCCAAGGTCCTTGCTAGCTAGAACTATTTAGTCCTCTGATTTTACCTGGATATAGTCAATTGATTCAAGCGAATTCCTTCCTCGCTGGAGTTTCGTTTCTACGCGGTTCGTTGGCGGAATGCTACCCGAGTCAACGCTAGTACGCTAGCACTCTAATGCTAGGCAAACACCGTCCGAGCCATAACTTAGTAATGGCAGAACTTTTCGCGAGGAAACTTGGCTCATTTTAAAGCTCTTGGAGCGAGCTTCGATATAGCGAATTCTCAGCTTAATCCGATCGACGGTCTGCACGGCACGCTGCGCGACGTTCAAGATACTCTTGCTGTTTTGACTAAGTCCTTCTTGATCCCTCTCTCTACAAACTCGGACCCGAGGATAGGGGCTGGTCTTGTACCAGGCACCCAGGGACCCTTGGAGGTGACCCCGAGGAGAGGTTTTAAGTTTGATTAAGTCCTAATAGCTTGAGTTTATTAGGCCCTTACACCAACACTTAATAGCCTGAGTTTATTAGGCCCTTACACCAACAAGCTGGTATCAGAGCTGCGTTATAGTGATCCTCGTTATAGGTAGCTATGGCGGGCAACACCTCGGCGGGAGCTGGTGAATCTTCAGCCCAAGATCGTAGTGGCAGCCAAGATTCTGGTGTTTCGGCGCCAAGGGGAGCGCGAACCAACCAGAGCTCGCTGATTAAGGTGGTGCTGAAGAATTTCACCGTCGAGAAGTTCAATTGTGAGGGCTATGATGATTGGGCCTGGAAAATGCAGCTTTACTTCCGTCAGATTGGATTGCTGAAACTAATGATTGGGGAAGAGCCTAGACCGAGTGACCCCGCGCTGCAAGAAGAATGGGACGAGCGCGCATCGGCAGGCTACTACTTGATGCCACAGAGTTTGGAGCTGAACCAGCGTCACCACGTCATGCACCTGCTGCCGGAGGTTGATTGCGGTCCAAAGGCGTGGACCGTGCTGAAGGAGCTGCACGCTCCTACCTCCGTCGCCGCGACGCTCATGATGGAAAGGGAACTGTCCGCGTTGCGATTGAGCGAGGGAGAGCCGGTGCAACCAGTTCTGGACAAGATGCGCGACCTCTACGCGAAGTTGGCGACCGCGGGAATTACCTACCCGGAGCAGACCAAGTGCCTGAAGATGCTCTCGCTGCTGCCGGAATCGTGGCTTCAATTCACGAGCGGATTGAGCCTGCCGCAGAACAAGAGCTCGTGGACGCTCGAGTGCGTGCGGAAGAGAACTTCCGTCGCCGCCAACTGAGGGGTGGAGACGACGGCAGCAGCGGCTACGGGATGCAAGGGAACCGACGTGGCAGAGGACGTGGCTTCGGTGGTGCTGGGCGCGGTGCAAAGAAGGACGACGACTCCAACGACCAACAAGGAGGTACCGGTTGGGGTCGCGGTGCGAAATCTGGACGTGGGGGCAAGTCAGGTGCTGGTGGCAAAATGAAAGGGAGTTGCTGGTATTGTGAGAAGGAGGGGCACCCCTGGTTTTTGTGCTATAAGAAACCCGATGGATGGACCCCCCAGAATCGTCAACAGGATGGCGGCGCGCGAAGGAACCAGAAAAACGGCGCGAACATGGTCGTTGATTCGTCCGACAACAACCCGAAGAGCAACGGTGGTGCGGAGAAGAAGAAGGAGCGCACCGCGGGCCAGTTCTTAAATATCGAAGAGCAGGGGGAGCAAGGAGACGCCTCTGCCAAGGTTGGAGCATGTTGGGTGCAAATGCACATTGCACGACATCCTGCCGTCTGTTTGTACGAGTATGCGTGTGCGAATGCATTTGCGTGTGAATGGTGTGTTCGTGTGTTTGTTTGCTTTCGCATTTTTCGCTTGATGCATTTGCAGGTACTCGCGCAATGTGCGCTTTGGCACAACATTGTATGCGCTATGAACAGTGCAAGCAGGAAGGACGAGCTCGCAAAGGAACCCAAGATGGAAGCTTTGCAGTTCGGTTGAGTTGATTGCGCAGATTCAGTTCTATCCAACTCGGAATTGTACTGTTTTGTTTGGTTAACTATAGTGTAGCAGGGAAGGCACTAAAGGGGTACAATTTAGGTGAAGGTTGGATGTTGTTTGTCTGTATCTGCATGCTACAAGGCCAGGGGAAACCAGCGGAACCAGCATTTGGCTGGTTGGGCAAAGACAAAACAGGTTCTGTTTTTAGAACCTGAATCTGGTTGTTGTTTTCCCAGGTTGGAAAAACAGAACCAGAGGTTGTTTACCAACCTACCACCTGCTATTTTGTCCAGCCAGGTTGGTTCTGTTGCTTGGAATTATTTGGGATCATCCCTGGTTGTTCCCAGGTTGATTCCCAAGGTCCTTGCTAGCTAGAACTATTTAATCCTTCTCTGTTTGTACCTGAATATAGTCAAATTGATTCAAGCGAATTCCTTCCTCGCTGGAATTTCGTTTCTGCGCTATTCGACGGCGGAATGCTACCCGAGTCAACGCTAGTATGCTAGCACTCCAACGCTAGGCAAACGCTGTCCGAGCCATAACTTAGTAATGGCAGAACTTTTCGCGAGGAAACTTGGCTCATTTTAAAGCTCTTGGAGCGAGCTTCGATATAGCGAATTCTCAGCTTAATCGGATCGACGGTCTGCACGGCACGCTGCGCGACGTTCAAGGTACTCTTGCTG